GAGGAAAGGGAGGGACAGAGGAGAGGGAGATTGAGAGAGGTGAGGGAGGAAACACGAGGGGAAAGGTAAATGTGAGAGAGGGAGGAAGCAGCTGCCCTTTTTGATCCACGAGCTCTAATATTCCTCACAAGCCTGATGTGTGGTACTCTACTGAAAGCCTTTTGGAAGTCCCTGTACATTACATCAATTGCTGTCCCATTATCAACCGTCTCTTGAATCACATCAAAACAGGTTAAACCCTTGACAAATCCGTACCCACTCTCCTTTATTGATTTGTCCAAGTGACTATTAATTTTGTGATGAATAATGATTTCTCAGTTTCGCCACCACCGAGGTGAAACAATTGCTTGTATTTGCTGCCTTTGTCCTTGTACCTTTCTCTGAAAAAGGTGTAACTTTGTGCAATTCTTAAGGTGACTAGCAGCCCTCTGTATTGGAGGGGTTTGGAAACTATGATCAGCAATTGTACAATTTCAGTCCTTCTTTTCTTCAAAGTTCTTGAATACATTGGATATGCAATGGAAATTAAAACGGATCTTAAATTTGAGCTGGTTATCATAACTGTGCACCAGCAGACAGTAACATTCTTCTGCTGAGGACGTTCGTCAGTGTTTAGACTCTCCCTCCCTGCCACATGCCACAATCATACGTGGCATCAAAGAACTGCCTAAACTTACACTGACTCAGCCCTGCAATTTGCAGACTGCTGGGAGGGAGAGACAGGTTAACTCAAAGCTCAGCATGCAGCAGGAGCAGAAGCTGCTTAGGTTGACGTCTGGGTCAGGAATGTGGAGAATTCTCTGAATAAACATGCTGTACTTCCTTCTACAATGAGCTCCAGATGAGTCTGTTCTCAGATCCAGCTGTCTGAGCAAGTGTTCTTGACTCACACTGTGGACTGACAGTGCATTGACAGAGCAGTATAGATACTCTCCCAAATGCAGTTTCCAGAGAAGGTGGGTTTAGAGGAAAGAGGGGACAATAGCAGCAGGCAGACAAGACCTCAGGCTGGCCCCATTTTTAATCAAACAAAAACCTGAAGTAACCAGAGGATGAACACCACCACAGCAGCAGGGAGTGAGAAGGTTGGAAGAATATGACAGCAAACTTCAGGAACAAAATTCAAACAGGGCAGCTACCAGAGGATTCAGACAGATGGTAGATGATGAATCCATCCACCAATTTCTCCATTCTTTCCATGCATTGGACTGACCAAGCAAAAACACACCAGGGTGCAAGATCTGGAGAATTTCCACAAAGCATTTCTAGTCCAACTTCTAAACCTTGCTGGTTATTAAAGTAAGAAGAGACAGGTGGTGAAAACAAGATTGAAACAGAGGAAGACCAATGTTTTCATCACTCTCTTTACACCCTCAATGTCCCAAACCATCTTATTGCCAATGCAGTTTTAAACGAGTTTCAACCTTGTTATGTAGGAAATGAACCAGTCAGAGTCATACAGCATGGGAACAGACCCTTTGGTCCAACAGTCCATGCTGGCCATAATCCCAAACTAGACTAGTCGCAGCTGCCTGCACTTGGCCCATATCCCTCCAAGCATTTCTTAATCATGCACTTATCTAAAACGTTGTAACTGTACCTACATCCACCACTTTCTCTGGAAGTTCATTTTACACACGAACCACTGTGAAAAAGTTGCCCTTCATGTCTTTTTTAAATCTTTCTCCTCTCATCTTAAAAATATGACCCTCAGTCAATTTTCACACAACAATATCCAACGAATTTCAACGACATGTCAACCAGTTAATTTAGCTTTTTTGATGACAATTGACAGAGATCTCTGCTCTTAAGCAAACTAGTGCCATAGAACTTTATAATCTACTTCAGAGTGCAGGCAGGACCTGAATCTCAAAGAGGTTAGACCTCCATCATGCCAAACCTCAAACAGGGAGACATCCCTCAGCACTGACGCTCCAACAACCTGGCCTTTCCTTACCATAGACTTTGCTATCTTAGTCCTGACCCTCCAGCAGGGCAACATTCCCTCAGCACTGATTGTCTGACACGGTAGCACTCCCTTAGTGCCAGGCCTGAGACAAGGTGGCACTCCCTCAGCATTGACTGTCCAACAATGCAGCACTTCTTTTGTACTGATCCTCTGACAGTGCAGCACTCCTTCATGACTGACCCTCCAACAGTGTAACATTCCTACATTACTGACCCTCTGACAGTGCACAGCAACTTCAGTACTAATCCTCCAACAATGCAGCACTCCCTTACTATTGACCCTCCAACAGTGCAACGCTCCCTCAGTAATGATCCTCTGACTGTGCAGCACTCCACAAGTCCTGAACCTCTGACAGGGCTGAGATTTCCTCTTTAGTCTTTCATTTATGGCAAACGAGCATAAAACAAAAGTCTGCAAACCATGGAGTGAAAGAGTTCAGATCTTTTCCAGTATAATTTGCCCTCCCCAGGTCTGACAGTCTCAGAAGCCTGAAAGTTCACATTATTCACATCCCGAACACAGAAGTGAAATGTATCAAGAATCAGTCTCTGGGGTGCAGTGATCACATTTGCTCTGTTGAAAGTTTCCATGCTTGACAATGTTGGAGTTGTGGTGGACTGTTTGTCATAATTGAAAAGATCCTGCCCCTTATCACCATGTCTCACTCTTAGCTCAGTCAGAATGCTCACTTGCTCTGACAATAATGAAACTTTGATTGAGGCCACACAAAGGGGAGCAGATTGAGACAAGTGATCTATTCTCTCTGGTGATGTGTTGGAACGCAACTGAATGAAAGACTGAACAGTAAGCACCATTTCAGTCAACAGAGCCTTGGCCTAGAGCACTCTTATGTGACTAAATGGGACTGAATGGATTTAAAGGAGCAGTTCCCAAGTCTCCAGCAATGACCTGGTGTCTCCAGGAATTAGCATTCACTGGCAGCTGCTGATGAGCCCTTTAAAAGGCAAGAAAATCAAGGACTATGGGAGGAAAGGAGCTGCAACCGAGAAAGAGGAGCTGAGACCACAATCAGATCTGCGTGATCTTACTGAATGGTGGAGCAGGCTCAAAGGGCTGAATGGCCTTCTGCTTCTAAATCCTATACTCCCATGCTCAGTACCCTGGGACCATTAGTTTTCCCACATCCAACATCACTAAAAAAGCTTATCTGCCAATAGATCCTATTGCTGTTTGTGGGAGCTTGCTGTGCACAAATTGACTGGTTGTAAAAATCTTTGGGATCTCTGGAGGTCATAAATGGTGCAATGTAAAAATACAACTCTTCCTCCTTTCACCTAGATTACATGGAGAAAATATTTCTTGATAAAAGGACAACATGATGGAATCATACAGCTCCTCACACGAACTGCTTCTGTATATGGTGACTTGAACTCTAACCCTCAGTCAGTGGAATTAGGGAGTCTCTTCAAGCACAGGATCACTTGAGGATATCATCATCAGCAATAACTGGAGCCTGTGATTCATACAGAATTGCAGGTTCTGGCTCATGTTAATCGCCCTGTACTTATCACTTATTTATAGTGATGTCTCTGAGTTTGGAGCAAATTTAGTGCACATCATGGGACAGCGAGGAACAAAAGTGGGGTAGGTGGTGAAGAAGAGAGAGTTATGCAGAAGAAGACATTCAGAGAGAACTAAGGAATTAAACTGAGGAGGGAAGATTTTACTCCATTCCAGCTGTTTACTTGGCCTCATTCTCCTGATTGGTCTCTATTACAAAGGCTCCAAACTACCCCTCTTTCTTTTCCCTTCAATAAACTCAAACTCATCCAAAACTCTGCTGCCAGTGTCCAAACTCATGCTAAATCCTGTTTGCTCATCACTCCTGATGCTGACTGACCTACACAGAAACATAGAAGATAGGAGTAGCAGGAGGCCATTCGGCCCTTCAAGCCGAAACCAGTCTGACTCCAAACCAAAACACAATCAGATTCTGAACAAGGCCTCACACCTAACATGCATTGTCTGACCTAAAAAGTCACCTCTTCTTTACACTGATAAAGCCTTTGGTTCTGTCAGGACAGTGACTTCAAAGGAATCCAGGGATTGGCATACGTATATCAATTAAAACCTTCTAACTGATTAAAGATTTAACAGCATCTTAGGTTTGTTCAGTATATCCTCATCAGTGGTCTGACCCTTTGATCTTTTACTTGTAAATGCTGTGTCTGATACCACCTCTCTCACTAACACCTGAAAAAGAAGTAAGACTCAAAAATCTGGTGTTTTCAAATTGGACTATAACCTGGTGACTTGTGATTTCTGACCTCAAACATTTAGTGACCAGCTACTAACTGCTTCTTATATAGCTCAATGTCAAAATTGGTTTGTTAACCATGCCTATAAAACTCCTGGGGATGGTCTACTACATTCAAGATTCTCTATGGTTACAGTCTAAACACAAATTGTCTTGAGAAAACAACATTTTGAGAAACAGAAAATAATCAACTACAGGCATGCTGTGCAGCAACAAATCATAGAAACAGATAACTGAAGCAGGAATAGGCCATTTGGCCCTTCAAGCCTGCTCCACCATTCAATGTGATTATGGCTGATCATCCAACTCATTAACCTGTTCCCACTTTCACTCCCTGCCCTCGATCCTGTTAGCCCCAAGAACAATATCTAACTCCTTCTTGAAAATATTAAATGTTTTGGCCATAACCACTTTGTGGAAGAGAATTCTCCAGGCTTACCATTCTCTGGGGGAAGAAATTTCTCCTCATCCCAGTCTTAAATGACCTACCTTGTATCATCAAACTGCAATCCCTCGTCATCAGGAATATCTTTCCGACATTTACTCCACCTAGCCCATTTAGAATTTTATAGGTTCCAATGGAATTCCTCCCACATTTTTCTAAACTCCAGTGAATATATAGGCCTAACTGATCCAGTCTGTCTTCATACAAATGGAGTGTGTGAGGTGCAGCAGTTGAATCTTGGTTTATGTTGGTCTGTAATTTGTTAACTAAAAACTTATCCCTCTCCAGACCATACTTCACGTCCAAACCTTGGATCAAGAGGGTCGAGGGTGAGATCGCTGAAGTCTTCTCCCCAAGGGGTACCGGCACACCGTCCTGTAGCCACGTCAGCTCCTTCAATTCTGGTGATCCTGCAGCAGCACAGCTCAGGTTAAAAGGCTTGTCCCGGTGCACATTGACATCCTGCGGCTGCTCGGTAAAGTGGGGCAACCCTGAGGGGACAGCGGAGATGAAAAAAACCTGCTCATCAGAACATTAGACAGCCATTGCGAAAATCAATGTCAAGGCAATACATGACATTTCCAAAGTTTACCTCTAAAATGTCAAAATTCTCAACACACTTGAGAGGAAAGGCGTAAAAAGAGAAAGAGAGACAGACAGACAGAGGGCAGAATTTTTTCCTGCCTGGAGATGGCAGGAGGAGGAAACAATGGAGTGAGTTTGTCTCGGAGGAAAATGCAAGCCCTTTCCGTAACCTTATCAATTAAGTGCTGAGTAAGACATTCATTTGGAGAATTTTTCAACTTGCCAACAATTAAGGCCCTTAAGTGGTCAGTCAACAGCCACTTAAGGGAGGTCTCACCTCCATAATTATTGGGACTCCACAGGAGCCAAGAATGGTGGCTAATTTCTTGACTAGAAAACCATGGCAACGTACCTGCTGAGTTAAGGGTTGGTCTCCAATTGCCCCAGATGGGGAGAGGGAAATGTATAGCTTCTGAAAGGCAGCTTCCTAAACCCTGACCACCCTTTCCATAACACCTACCACATGAAGATTGTTACCATGTGTGGAGGGACTGTCTTATGAGGAGAGGTTGGGTAAATTGGGCCTGTACTCATTGGATGTTAAGATGAATGAGAGGTGACCTTAATTAAACATACAAATTTCTTCAAGTACTTGACAGGGTAGATGTGGAAAGGTTGTTTCCCCTTGTTGGCGAGTCTAGGACAAGAGGGCATCATCTCAGAATAAGGGGTTACATATTTCTGACAGAGATAAGGAGGAATTTCTTTTCTCAGACGGTAATGAATCTGTGGAATTCTTTACCATGTGAAGGCAGTTGAGGCTGGGTCATTAAATATATTCAAGGCTGAGACAGACAGATTTTTAATCAGTCAGGGAATCAAGGGTTATGGGATAAAGACAGGAAAATGCAGTTGAGATGATCTGATCCCATTGAATGAGGGAACAGGCTCAATGGGCTGAATGGCCTACTTCTACCCCTACGTTTTACAGTCTTATGGACAAGATGATAAATCACATACCTTCTTGTTGCTGGACCCTCAAGAAGTAGGCCTCAGCAAATGATCTCTCTTTTCAGCGGGATAATGTCTGGCAGTCTGTGTTGTGGCCTGTGAGTTGTCCAGACTCAGCCTGTCAGCTCCTCAAGAGCAATTGGTGGGTAATGCAGTGAGTTTTACTACTGTTAGGAGTGGCCTGCTACTCGACACATCACAACCTACCTCACACTTAGAAGAATTATCAGAAAATCACATCTAGGGAGTGCACTTTAGACTTCACTGCTGAAGGCCTAGCCACCAATAGCAAAGTGCTGGAAACTGGCAATCAAATAGACGCCAAATTTGGAGGTGTTCAGAGATTTCACAGTTGGAGGAAACGCTGAAGGGTTAGCTATGGGACAGGAGCAGCACACGGAAAGAAAGTGACAGACAGAGAGAGGGAAGGATTAACACTATTGAGTCTGAAGGTGACCAAAGACTATTTGAAAATTTCAGGTCCGAGAAACGATGGCAATGTTTGAGGTGTTAGTGACATTTGGATTAGTGTCTCAAAACTTAGCTCAGGGATAAGTAAGAATTTGTGGATTGTGCGTCATCAGCTTGACTTTACCCTGCATTGGAGATCAAGGATGTAATCAGGAACCTTGGAGGTCGGGTGGTGTAGACAGAGCAAGAGTTCCCTGCACACAAACAAGTATTATGGGCATCGAACAGCAGAATAGAGAAAGGTAGAAAGAGATAGAGAAAGAAAGGCAAAGAAAGAGACAAGTAAACAGAACGAAAGAGAAAGAAAGACAGAAAAAGAAAGAATGAAAGACAAAAAGAAAAAAAAAAGAGAAAAGAGACAGAGAAAGAGAGAAATAAGAATAGAGAGAAAGGGTATGTGGAATATATTGCCCACTGCATCCAACTTCAACACCTCCAGCCTCACCTCAATACCACATTTCCAACAGAAGGCACTGCGTCTAGCGACGCAGAGCCCAAGGGTAGTTTTCCTCCCATCCTCAATGTGGCCAGGTCAGTTAACTTACTGCAGTCCAGATTTGGAGTTGTGATGGACTGACCTGTTTCCTAACACACTGCACAGCTTTAATAGTCCCAACACCAACTCAACATTTAAAGGGTCAATGACTCACCTTCAATTTCTAGCTGAGCTTCTTTGGAGATGATTTCTCTGCCTTTCACTGAAGTGATGCACCGATAACTCCCAGCGTCCGTGCGGTGGATTGAGGGAATACTATGAATGAAGACAGATCATTAAATGTTGGAAGCAGAAAAGAAAGAAGAAGTAGTGAGCAAGCTGGGGTCAGGTGACAGTCATGGGTCAGTAGGTTTAACACTCACTCTGACTCCGAAATTTGGGAATTCAGCAATTTGACCAAAAGCTCTAGGTTGACACTCAGTGTAGCCTCTATCCTGTTGTCTACCTTTGACACTATTTCTTCCATGGGAACCCCCACCCCAGGGTTTTATCCCCAGATTTAACCACTTCAGTACTCTCCTGGCCATCCTTTGCATCCTTAGAAACTTCAGCTTTTCCAATATCTAAATCTCAGCTTGGACAATGTCCCAATCACTCTTTGTGCCTGTCCTTACAGTCCCTAGAATCTTTAACATAGAATTCCCTTATTTAAATGTCTCTATTGCCCCATCCTTCCCTCAGTCTCAGAGCCCCTGAATGTTTAATTCTCTTGACACTGCCTTTTCAGCCATTCTTCACAACCACTTTACCATGGAGGCCATGACTTCAGCCACCTCAGCCCCTCACTTTGCAAATCACTGCATGGGCCTCTCCCTATCTCATCTCAATCTTTCAGGCCCTTCTCAAAACACATTTCCTCAATTAAGTTTTTGGTCATTTCCCAGTATTTAAATCATGGGTTTGCAGTACACCTGTTCTTGTGGAACACCTTGAGGTACTATATAAATACAAGTTAGTTAGTTTGTGTTGTTACTGATTACACACTTATTAACCATTCACGACATTTAAAGTAGGATACACCAAGGGAAGATGCACTAACAGTTCCAAGTTAGCCTAACCACATGGGGATACAGCAAACCACCATTCCAATCAGATGATTAACATTGGGCACTGTTCTGTTTCACACTCACTGGCTGCAATTACCTTAATTCACTGATGGCTAGCCATTCGTCATCACTCACTGGCACCAGAACTTGGTTGACATCTGCTTGGTACAGAGCCCCATCTCGTTGCCAATTTATTTCGGGGAGTTCGCCCATCACCTGAATAGAGCAGCGCAACTTTACTTCTTTTCCCTGGAAGGATATGATACTCTTGGGATTCTGCAGGAAGGGCACGTCTGCATGAGAAAAACAAACAAGAACTTTTTTGTTATTAAGTCTCAAGAACGAATATTATTGAATAACTTTCTGAGCAGAAAGTTAAGAATCTTACACATGAATGGTGAACAACATAGGTTTGCTCATCAGTCAGATTGGTTACAAGGGTCAGGGTGTCATGTTGCAGCTTTGCAAGCCTTTGGTTAGGCCAAACTTAAGAGTATTACATTCAGTTCTGGTCACCACATTACAGGAAGGATGTGAAGAGGGCGCAGAAGAGGTTTACCAGGATGCTGCCTGGATTAGAGGGTATGAGCTATAAGGAGAGGCTAGAAAAACTCTGGTTGTTTTCTCTGTTGCAGCAGAGGCTGAGGGGAGACTAGATAGATGTCTATAAAATTATGAGATGTATAAGATGCATATTGAGGTTGACAGTCAGAATCTTTTTCCCCAGACTTGAAATGTCTAAAACTGGGGGTAGGGGGGAAGAGGTGCATGCATTTAAGGGGAGAGAGGGGGAAAGCTCAAAAAGAGAGATATGAGGGGCAAGTTTTCTTACACAGAAAGTGGAAGGAGTCTGGAACACACTGCCAGCAGTGGTCATGGTGGAGGCAGATACAATAGGGGCGTTTAAGGGGCTTTTAGATAAACTCATGAATATGCAAGGCACAGAGGGATATGGGCCGAGGGCAGGCAGAAGGGATTAGTTTGATTTGGCAACACGTTTGGCACAACATTGTGGGCCAAAGGGCACATTCCTGTGCTGTACAGTTCTATGTTCTTTGTTCTTACAAAAGCTCAGTACTTTCAGCTATGGAGAAACACAGATTTACTCTCACTTTAAACCTATTGCAAGATGCAACCTTAACTGGCTACTTGTCATGTCATCTACACCCTAGTTACTGCCTCATTAGCATGCCCACTTCTTAAAGTGAGATCTCAACTGGCATTTTAGCCATCATCAGCTGCCCTAGAGAAGGTGCTGCTAGGCCTCCGTCTTGAACCACCGAGTCTTTGGGCTAAAGATGCTGGGTGAGGGAAGAAGTGTCAAGTATGAGTCCCATGGAGGAATGAATAAATGAAGGAAGGCCATTGTGCATCTCAGCTGGGATGCCATGTGACTTTGACAACAAGGTGCAGAGCTGATGAACACAGTAGGCCAAGCAGCATCATAGGAGCAGGAAGGCTGACGTTTCGGGCCTAGACCCTTCATCAGAAAAATGCTGCTGCTTGGCCTGCTGTGTTCATCCAGCTCTGCACCTTGTTGTCTCAGATTTTCCAGCATCTGCAGTTCCTACTATCTCATGTGACTTTGAGGTGGTTTTTAATATTTGTTTATGGGGTGTGGGCATCACTGGTTAGGCCACCATTTATTGCCTATCCCTAATTTCCCAGGGGGATCAGCCACATTGTTGTGGGTCTAGTGTCACATGTAGACTAGATCAGGTAAGGACGACTTGACTTCCATCCCTGAAAGGCATAAATGAATTATATTGGCTTTTACTTCTTTTACCACCTCATGAACCAGATGGCTTTATATAACAATCAACAGTGGCTTTGTGGTCATTATTCGATACCCAAATAAACCTTGAACATTACCTACTACTAGGAGGCCATCGCGTCCTCCTGAGATGGGCTTTTAACAACAAATCAACAGTAGTTACACAGTTATCATTAGCCTTGCTTTTATCTTTATTCCATTTCTTTGGAATTTGAACCCATGTTCTCAGAACATTAACTGATTACTGATCCAGTGCCATTACCACCATGCAAACCCCCTCCCTGTTCTTCACCCATGAGCAAGTGGCTAGAATCTGCTGAGAATGTGCTGGAGGCAGGTTAATTTGTGGTTTTCACATGAGAATTGGATAATTGTATGAAAAGAAAAAAATATGGCAGGCCTATGGGGAAAAGGTGCAGAACCGGGAGTGGTAATGCAGAAACAATTTGCAGAGAATCAGCATTGATATAATTTGCTGAATGACCTCCTTCTGGACTACAACAAACTGAGTGTTTCTGTGCTTCCTGTACTTCGTCCAGTTAGATGGAGGAGTTGCTGCTGTTCTACTTGTACATACACACCACAGCCACTGGAAATGATAACATCACACACCGTGTGGGCAAGTACCAGCACATCAGAATGAGAAACAGCTTGGAGTTGCATGTGGGTCACATTATCAGACCAGAGCAACACATCTGGTGGGAAATATGCCAAAGAACAAAGAACAAAGAAAATTACAGCACAGGAACAGGCCCTTCGGCCCTCCAAGCCTGCGCCGATCCAGATCCTCTATCTAAACCTGTCACCTATTTTCCAAGGATCTGTATCCCTCTGCTCCTTGCCCATTCATGTATCTGTCTAGATACATCTTAAATGACGCTATTGTGCCCGCCTCTACCACCTCCACTGGCAACGCGTTCCAGGCACCCACCACACTCTGCGTAAAGAATTTTCCACGCATATCTCCCTTAAACTTTTCCCTTCTCACCTTGAAATCGTGACCCCTAGTAATTGAGTCCCCCACTCTGGGAAAAAGCTTCTTGCTATCCACCCTGTCAATACCTCTCATGATTTTGTCGACCTCAATCAGGACCCCGTCAACCTCCGTCTTTCTAATGTAAATAATTCTAATCTACTCAACCTCTCTTCATAGCTAGCGCCCTCCATACCAGGCAACATGCTGGTGAACCTCCCCTGCACCCTCTCCAAAGCATCCACATCCTTTTGGTAATGTGGCGACCAGAACTGTACGCAGTATTCCAATTGTGGCTGAACCAAAGTCCTATACAACTGTAACACGACCTGCCAACTCTTGTACTCAATACCCCGTCCGATGAACGAAAGCATGCCGTATGCCTTCTTGACCACTCCATCGACCTGCATTGCCACCTTCAAGGTACAATGGACCTGAACACCCAGATCTCTCTGTGCGTCAATTTTCCTTAGGGCTTTTCCATTTACCGTTTAGTTCGCTCTTGAATTGGATCTTCCAAAATGCATCACCTCGCATTTGCCTGGATTGAACTCCATCTGCCATTTCTCCGCCCAACTCTCCAATCCATCTATATTCTGCAGCATTCTCCGACAGTCGCCTTCACTATCTGCTACTCCACCAATCTTACTGTCATCTGCAATCTTAGTGTCATATGCCATTACATCATATACTGGAAGCAGACAGATCTCCTCAGTGAAAGTTTGAAAACAACCAAATCCAAGTCACAGCAAAAATAAAAGGTGCATCATTCACTAAAGGTTTCACAATCTGTCTGTGATGGAATGTCCCTTGATTGACAAAGAGTAGAGTTCATCCATTCGACCCCTTGAGACTGTTCCATCAGGTTATGGCTCACTTCTACCCAAATCCAATGACTCCTGTCACTGATCCAAATCTCATACCTCAATAAAAGAAACTTATCATTGTGTTGTGGAGTGCTGCACTCTGACAGAGGGGCTATATTTCAGATCACAGAACTGTTACAGCACAAAAAGGCAGCCAGTCAGGCCATCATGGTTATTCCAGTTCTGTTACCTAATGCCAATCTCCTGGCTTTTCTCCATATTATTGCATACCATTCCTATCTAAAGAATTATACAATGTCCTCTTGAATCCCTGAGTTAGAGTCATACAGCATATAAACAGACCCTTCAGTCCAACTAGTCTACATTGACCATATTTCCAAACTAAACTATTCCAGTTTGCCTGCATTTGGCCCATTCCCTCCAAATCTTTCCTATTCATGCACATATCCAAATGTTTTTTAAATGTTCTAAATGTACCTGCATCCACCACTTCCTCTGGCATTTCATTCCACACATGAACTACACTGTGTAAAAAAACATGCCCCTCATGCCTTTTTTAAAACCTTTTCCTCTCACTTTAAAAATATGCCCCCTAGTTTTGAACTTCCCCACCCCAGAGAAAAGACCCTGATTATTCACCTTCCCTATGCCCCTCATGATTTTATAAATCTCCAGAAGGTCATCCCTCAACCTCCTATGCTTCAGTGAATAAAAGTCCCAGCCTATTCAGCCCATCTTTATAATTGAAACCCTCCATCCCCAACAACATCCTGGTAAATCTTTTCTGAACCCTCTTCAATTTAATAACATCCTTCATAATACCTACCTCCACATTTCCAGGCCATACATACCGGATGGAATATATCATGCAAGATATTAGAGATATTGTTAGATTGATAATGCTAAAATTAAACAGATTATCTGTTCGTGCTCACATTGCTATTGGGTCGGAGCTGATGTGCGCATTTTGTATTGCTTCTCCTTCATTACAACAGCAATTACACCTCAGAAGTATGTCATGGGTTGTAAAGCACTTTGAGGGGTCCGCTGGTCTTGAAAGCTTTTTTTTCCACCTGGATTTCAGTACCCGATGAATTAGTTTCTCCATTTCTCATCCCATAAAATTCTTCTATATTTTTAAACAATCAGATAGCCATCCCAAATTTCTATACACAATATAAGCAAAGACTTTAACTAATAAATTAGCTCACCATTTAACTCTTTCAACCTGCATAACATTCTGATAAATCTACTTTATTTTCCCCCCAACCTCATCACCACCATCACCGGTGGCCTTCCTGAAGTCCGTTGCCCAAAACAGAATACATTACTCTTGATCTAGCCTTGCTTATGTACAACAGAATTTAACGGAAACTCTGGAATTGAAGCCCTCTTCAGATACAAGCTAACATTCCATTCATCTTTTTGACTACATTTTTGATCAATGCACTGTCTCTAGACCTAGTCAAGCAAATAACTTAAGACTCTGTGCTTCCTAGCTTTTCAACAGAAACCTCAACTTTTCATTGAATCATACAGCACAGAAACAGCCTCTTCAGCTCACCATGTCTGTGCCAACCAACAAACACCCCAATTACATTAATCCCATTTACCCGCATAGACTATAATGCCCCAATATTTGAAGTGTTCATCCAGATGCTGTTTTGATATGAGAGTACCTGCCTCCACCATTCCTCTCAGACAGCATGTTCCATATTT